CGAGAGAGGGAACACAAGCAAAGGGAGTGGGATAAGGAGAAACAAGCTTCCTGCCCAGCAGGGAGCCTGATGTGGGGCTCAATTCCAGGACCTTGGGATCATGACCTGAGCTGAAGGCAGACGCTTAACAACTGAGCCACCCGGGTGCCTCTATTAATTAGGTTTCTTATTAAATAATACAAATCTCTTCCTTGCTCTGTTTTTGTTATTGTTCTTATTCTGACTGCCAGATACTTCTAGAAATTACTAAGAAAGTTCATGTATAGTCATCAGAATATCCAGATAAAAATGTTTTCTAATATTTAATTTAGTGAGGGTTGTCATATTTATATTCTATAAGCATAGATTTAGAAGTAGTAACAAATATATAACTTATTTCATTCATAGAAGTAGTTTCTGTTGAAGATTAGAATGGTAAATTCCTAAATTATCCCAATGCTTCTTTCATTAAGTTGTGTTCACACACTCATACAAATAGTTTATTCCAGTTAATGCTAAGCTTTCAACAAAGTTGTGCTTTGAGTCTATTGAAGAAATAAAAGTTGTCAGTTAAAAAACAGCAAAATTTGGTTAGCAAGGACTTTATTCACCCAGTTTTCTTTCATATATCAAGAACTGTTTATTTTATCCTGCTTCAAAGCTATAAAGTTAGCCAACCACATTTTCATTGTTATTGACAAAAGACACAAGACTCCTGGGTCAGAGACAAAGCACTATTAGTCATATCAGAGCAGGCAGCATAAGCTTTATATTTGCACTGTATCCCCTTGTGTCCTAAGTCACATAGGGGTAATACAAGGTAGCACAGATAGATATTGTGCACACAGTGGGTTTATGTCATAAGTGAGAAACTTCAAGTTAGGAAACTCCCAAACTCAAAGGAGGATTGTTTGCAAATTTGTCTATCCTTTGATTTTGAGGGAGACATTATGTTTATCACCCTGGTTAGGAAAGAAATCTAATCTACCCTCTGCTCTGGAGGGAGGTGCTATTTCTAACTTCCAAGTTGTTTGCTATATACATATGTGTGAAAAGTTATGAAGAAAAACCATAAGTGCTTCTTCAAAAGACATAGACATAGAGCCTATGTTCTCTAAACAAATAATAATAATAATTTAATAAAAACACCCATTAGCTACTATAAGCTAAGTGAACCCAGAAAAGTTTGTGATTTACACAATTAAACCATGGGCCAAAAAGCCCTATTTGTTCAGCCCAGATAACCAGAATATAGTAAGAACCAAAGAGTTAATTATTCTTTATCAAATATATAGATAATTCTAACCATTATTTTATTGTACAATAAACACCCTATTTTTCTTAGCTGGTTACTAGATGGAATAAATTACAGATAATTATTACCCAAGTTTTCTGTTTATAAAATTGTTTAAGAAGAGTTAGCATCATAATAGTCAAACTTTATCAAATTTGTAAGCTGATTTTAATATAATGATTTAATTAATAAAATAAGAGATTTTTATTTCAAATTCACAATTGAACAAATAACTGCTATCCACATTTTATTTTAATATATGATTTATTGCATACATGAAAATTGAATAATAAAAGTCTGCTTAACATTGAAATCAGTGTTATTAAATATGAGAGAATTCAGTGCTGGATTCTTAGTGTACAAATCTAAAGTTTGGGGGCTTTAATCTCCAAACTATGATGCAAGAACAAATCCAAAATCAGACATCTGGAAAACCTATACTCTCAGCCTATTTATTTCTATTACATGAGTCATCTCAGATTCTAGGGCAAAAAAAGTGGTGTTACACACTAAATATGCCCATTGAAAGGTGAATAAAATGAAATATTATTTGAGAATTCACTTTTGTTATAATTTTAGAAGATTCTTCAGAATATTTTTCATGCTTTCAATTTAACTTTTAAAATGTCTTGCATAAATTAAAATTATTACCATACATTTGATTCACTTTGATTCTTTCAAAGACCTAGGATTGTTATATTTAATATGTCTAAAATGTAACTTACAAGAAAATATCCAATACATTGATGACAGATAAATAATATGGGGCAAATAGAAAACTTTGTTTTAAGACACACTTTTGAAATACAACATGAGAATATAATCTTAAAAATGTTCAAGGACTTTCAAATAATAAAAGGCTGTTATCTTCAGAGTTCTATAAGCTTATTTATTCTAAAATTGTATTCTACTCTGTGTTGACTATATAATTTGCTGGTCTTGGTGATGTTAATGTAATCTATTATTATAGATGCTAGTTACTTTGTATATATGAAGTAAAGATATTATCCTATACATATATTTTAAAATATAATGTTTTGTAAAGGAATTCTAAAAATTACTAATATAATCTTTGTTGTCACACACTGAAACAAAGTTCTCAGACACCGATCTGAGGGGCTGTGCAGGGCTGCCTCTGCAAGGGAGAGTAGCAGCAGCTGAATTCTGCACACAGCTTTTATTTTGTTTTTTATCAGAAAAGCAAGGACAGATGTATCAAAGCATGGGGAAGGAATACAAAGAGATGGCAATTATCTTGAAGGTGGAAAGCAGGCCTGCACCTTCCCCTACCAGTGGGCATGCAGGGAGGCAGTCATGGGATAAGGGAGGAACAGGATATTTGTGCTAGCAATCACTGGAGGCAGGAAGGGGAGTTGAGGGTTACTTTCTTTCATAGCTCCTAAATCTATGCCCTGCCTCAGGAGATGATGGGATCCTGTTTGTACCAGGCTATAGCTTTCAATAACCTGAGAGCAAGAATGCTGCTGATGTTTCAGCTGCTTCCACAGTCACCCCTTAGGGTTTACAATACATTTTCTAAGAATAACTCCACAATCATAAAGGAAAAAAATGCATGTTTGGCCTTGTATCTTTGAGGAAAGTCAAGTACACCTGTGAGATATTGAATGAGTTTATAAGTTTTAAAAATAGAAAACTCAATCTTTATAAACATTAAACTGTATTCCTTTATCTTTTTCTAGGTAAAAGTTTCCCTTCCCTCTCTACAGAAATTGAGAATATCTTTTGAGTGTCTGTTAGAGAAAGATGTATCTAGGATTTTTTACATTGTTCTGATTTTACTACTCTGACTTAATTTGATTTTCATTTGTCATTTCTAAAATTTTAGCTCAATAGATATCTTTGTATTTATGACAAAATATGAGTAATATCCAATTTAACTACTCTGTTCTGCACTGAAATCATGTTTTCAAAATTTATGGAGGTTTACCAGGTAAAATGTGAATTCTATAGATTATAACAATGACAGTGATAAAAGCTACCTTTCTGATTAAAGCTATTTTTTATCCAACTGCTATTTTTACTTTAATCTCAGAAAAAAAGAAAATAGTTTTTCTATTTTATTTTTATCGATATCTACCTGATAGCTTATATCTTTTTTTTAAAGACTTTATTTGTCAGAGAGAGCATAAGCAGGGAAAGGGGCAGGCAGAGAGAGAAGCAGGCTCTCCGCTGAGCAGGGAGTCCAACACTGAGCTCAATGGGATCATGACCTGAGCCGAAGGCAGATATTTAACCAACTGAGCCACCCACACGTCCCCTGATGGCTTATATCTTTGTAAAACTATATTTTGTATCTCATTTACTTAAATGAGATAAAAAATAAATAAAATGTTATTTTAAAAATAGAGAAATATTTTATTTAGTTGCCTGAATTTTCTTAATTAGTTTAATTGTCCACATTAATTCATTGCTGACATTGAATAACTGTAACTGGAAGTAGCCAATTTACCTGCAGATGAAAATATTTGATAAGTCTTAGATATAGGCTAAATACCCTCTGCTTTATGAGAGTTTAGAATTTCTGTAATATAGTATATCTATGGATTAAATAAATTCTATATATTATTTCATACATATATATTTATTAAATAAGGTATAATATGCAACAAGCCTCTAAGCAAATTAAATTCCAGCTATATTATCTTATTATAGTATAATAACAATATGCACTTACTAAATAGGAAAGTAATTTAATTTCCTAGAAACTGTTTTTATGCATTTAATTTTACCATAAAAATTCACACATGTAAAATTATTGTGAAGATTAATACATACAAAGCTCCTAGCATAGTCACACATAATGGGTGAACAATATAAGGTGGCTTAGAGCTCTAGTTATGGTGTCCATCTTTAATACTTATGACTATACAAATCAAAGGAAATAAGAGGTACAGAAGTTTGAGCTGCAAATAGTAAAATAGTAAACTCCTTAAATATGTGTGGGCATTTGTCCATGTACATATAAGGTGAATGTTAAATTTGGGTGGTAATAGTGGGCAATGGTGAAGAAGCTCTCTGAGAAAACAATAATTACAGTTGTATCCTACCATTTTAATATTTGTTCAGTTCTATCTCAACTTATTTTACTTTTATCATATTACTTCCTTTTCATGAGTTTAATTTTTATTTTGAATTTAAGCATACCATATTTATAATAGTTGAAACTTCTTTTAGGCACAGGAATTTTTATCTAGTTGTAAGCATACAATACAACTTGCAATGTCTTTAAAATGATATTTATTTAATTTATGAAAAACATTTCAGATATTAAATTTAGCAAAATCTCTAGAAAATGCTGGTAGGACTTTGTGTAGCCTGCCAATATATGTTTGCTATCATTGTCAGGATCCTGTGAACTTGGAATCTGATCATAGTAACAATATTCTTATCTACAGAGATGGATGTTAAAAAAGTGCAAAAGAGTGCAAAACATTGTCTTTTTCCAATTGCTGACTCAATACAGATCAGGGCCTTGATATTTTAATGATCTGTTTGTAATAGCACAGTGTAACAGAGGTTTTCTTATGAGTTGTTCTTCTTTCTCAAAGTTGTTTCTTTCTGATATATCCTATTATCTTTCTGATATATCCATTCTGCAACTCCATCTAACACTACTAAAAATTATATTCATGATTTTTTTTCAATTTGTAGTCAAGTTATGAATATTTAAAAGTTAAATTTTAAAATGAATTCATCCCAATTGGACTTAATTCCCATGAAAGCTGCAGGAATGTTGTCTAAATTCAACAAAATTGTTGAAACTACTCCCACAAATGGGACATAATATTTCCAACCATCATCAGTGCTTATGATCACAACCCTCATGCTATGGTGAGATCTCAAATTACCCTCAAAAGCTTTTCTATTAAGTGTGTCTTTGAATTTGGGACCATGGGATATAGAACACAGGCCTCACAAAAATATGGAAGCCATCTTTCCCTTTAGCACAAGTTGATTTGTAAAATTTTCCTGATGTCATTCTTCCAATGAGAGGATGGTAGTAGTATACCCTTAAAGGTCTTTCAAATATTATGGCTTTCTCCGCATGGGTGAGGACATTTGGATGAGGAAGAAATACTGTATATTTTAGCTTCACCCACATGGTATTTTGCCAACCTGCAGCCTGAGAGAAATGTCTCCCACACAGCAGACGGAGAATCATTCTCTTTACCTCATGATTGTTAATGAATGGGATTCTCCACAAAATTGGGAGTTGGAGAGGAATTTTGTAATTTATGGTGCTATTATAGAAATCACTTGTTTTCATCCACTTTCCCTGAGTGGAATCTTGTTCTGTTAGTTAAAGAATTGTTTTTATTGCATTTTACTCGTGAGATACTCAGATAGGTAATTCTCCCTAGCCCTGACATGAGAAAGATCCATTTTCTAGGAATAGGGATCTGAATTAGAAGGGATTCTTCTTTTAAATGCTCTCGTTGAAGATCTTTTTGGGTCTTCTCAACTTCAAACTCATTGTTCTCTACTGCTTGACAAACAGCATGCCCCTGGGAGGTCGGTATGTATAGCTCCCTGTTCACTGGGTTGCTTTCCACATGAGAGATAATATTAGAATCAGCAAATGAAGGCTTGATATCTGTACTACATTCATGTGGAACTTCATTTTCTAAATTTTTGAGATCGTTTTCAGCTGCATCACTTCCTTCTTTAGTAGAAGTCATCCTGGGTTCTATTTATGAGAAAGAAAACAAAGATCCATTAAACTGAAGAATGTCCCATTTCATAAAAAGTTCCTTAGTCCTGAAAATAGGATGGATGTGTTATTCCTAAGCTTTCTCAGCTTTATGTATAGTTTATCACATCTTTAATATCAAAGTCACAGACCCGCAAAATAAAATAGAGAAAAATAAAAACTGAGAGTAAATATGACTCGTATTAAATAAGTGTTCTCATTACTTAGCTTTAGAACGTGTATAAACCTGGAGTAACATAAAATTTCATATGCACTAGAGCACATATAGTTCCCAATGGGAAGCCCAGTTGTTCTCTTTTGGATGATAAATTAAATAAAATTTTCATTTAATAAGATAGATCTGAATTATTGACCTGAGATTTTAAGATGAGGCTAAAGTAGAAGGCAGTTTTTTTATGAGTATATATGTGTATAAGAGAATTAAGACCTATGTGAAAATGAAATGGTTAAATTTCTATGAAGAGCAAGCTATTCTTCCTTTGGAATTTTTCTTCATTTTATTATTTTATCTGTTCATTTTAAGCAATATCTATGCAAAAGGCAACAACTATGAATTATGTAAGAAGGGAAGGCAGAGAAAGTAAGAGAGTATGAAGCTGAATAGTGAAGTCTAACCCAAGTCATTTATTAAAATATGACTTAAATTTACTATTTCCTCCTCATTCCCATTGTCTCAGGACTAATCAAGCTGATAATTTGATCATGCTTGCTTTACTGCTGATATTTGGTTTCCCTGATTCAAACTCTTGGCTCATACCTCTACTCTTAACTTTTTCTTTAATATATGTCACCTACCTGCCCAAATACCTTTAGCACATACTAATTATCAGAGCCTATTCTCAATATATTATATATTAAATATGTTTCATTCTTCTGTATGAGGAGACTTGGGACAATGTAAGTTGGAAAATTTCTTTTTCTTAAGATTTTATTTATTTAATTTATTTGAGAGAGAGAAAGTGAGTGTGACCTGGTGGGGGGTGGAGACAAGAGGGAGGGAGACTGACAAGCAGACTCTGTGCTGAGTATAGATCCTGTGGCAGGGCTTGATCTCCCTACCTGGAGATCATCACCTGAAGCAAAATCAAGAGTCAGAGGTGTAACCAACTGAGCCACCCAAGCACCCCTGGAAATTTTCTTTAAAATAGGAAGATAGGGATGCCTGGGTGACTTAGTCAGTTAAGCATCAGAGTCTTGGTTTGGGTTGAGGTCATGATCTCAGGGTCATGGGATTGAGGTCTGCATTGGGCTCCACATTCAGTGGGGGTCTGCTTGGGATTCTCTGTATCCTTCTCCCTCTGCCCCTCCCCATGCCCAGGCTCCACTTTCTCTCTCTAAAATAAATAAATAAATATTATTATTTTTCTTTTTTTATTTAAATTCAATTAGCCAACATATAGTGCATCATTAGTTTCAGATGTAGTGTTCAATAATCCATCAGTTTTATATAACACCCAGTACTCATCACATCATGTGCCCTCCTTAAAATAAATAAATATTTTTAAAAAGAATAGAAAAATAGATAGGAGCATTTTTACTGAAGGTAATGGTAGGGAAAGGCAAATACAAGTGGACTGAAAACAAATCTGGAGGAAATTAAGAATTAAAAATTATGGCTTCCATTCATTTTAATGTCTAGCTTTTAATTTGCTCTGTCTAGCTACCTTAGGGATAATTTAGGAATAAGTCAGCTGGATTTAAAGATGTAAAGTTGTGTGTTAGGTGTTTATGCTGGTCTTATGGGGGTGGGGCTGACTGTTATGATTTTCAAGAGGACTTGCCCTAGTGGAGATGCACCTGCAGGGCACAGGGGCTTGGCATAAGTGGGCCCAGCCTCCACTGGGTAGTACTTTTTTGTTCACACAAGTCTACTGATCATAGAATGCTGCAAAGCTTCAGCTCCTTAATATACCCAGTACTATCAAGAGCAGGAATACAACCGTCTTTCCTAACAATCACACAAAAAATCAGTGACCCAGACAAAATGACAAGAGAGAGAAATTCATCCCAAAAGAAAGAAGAAGTCGTGGCCAGGGATTTAATCAATATAGATACAAGTAAGATGTCTGAACCAGATTTTAAAACAATAATCATAAGGATACTAGTTGGGTGTGAGAAAAGCAAAGAAGACTGTAGAGAATCCATAACTGCAAAGATAAAATAACTAAAAACTAGTGAGACTGAAATGAAAATTTTTATAACTAGGAGGCAAAACCAAATAGGTGAAATGGCAATGAAGATGGATGAAGCAGAGGAGCAAATCAGTGATATAGAAGATAAAATTATGGAAAATAGTGAAGCTGAAAAAAAAGATAGAAGAAAGGTACTGTGTAATGAATGTAGACTTAAGGAACTCAGTGACTCTTTAAAGTGTAATAACGGTTGTATCATAAGACTCTCAGAAGAGGAAGAGAAAGAAAAAGGAGCAGGTTTATTTGAGCAAATTATAGCTGAAAACTTCCCAAATCTGAGGAAGGAAACAGACATCAAAATTCAAGAAGCATAGAGAACTTCCATTAAATTCAAACAAAAGCAGGGCATCAGAAGACATATCATAGTCAAATTCACAAAATAAAAGGACAAGGAAAGAATCCTGAAAGCAGAAAGGGGAAAAATAAAGCCCTTAAACTATAAGGGAAGTCAGGTCCAGCTCACAGCAGATCTGTGCACAGAAACTTGACAGGACAGAAGAAAGTGGCATGATATATTCAACATCCTGAACGGAAAAAATATGCAGCCAAAAATAATTTATTCAACAAGGCTGTCATTCACAATAGAAGGAGAGATAAAGAGTTTCCCAGACAAACAAACTAAAAGAGTTCATGACCACTAAACAAGCTCAGCAAGAAATTTTAAGGGGGACTATTACATTGGCAATAAATTCATAATTTTCAATAATCACTCTGAATGTAAATGGACTAAATGCTCCAATCAAAAGACATAGAGTATCAGGATAGATTAAAAAAAAAAAGATTCATCTATATGCTGTCTACAAGAGACTAATTTTAGACCTAAAGACACCTGCAGATTGAAAGTGAGTGGATGGAGAGTCATCTATCATGCTAATGGACATGAAAAGAAAGCCAGAGTAGACATACTTATATCAGACAAAATATATTTTAAAAGAAAGACTGTAACAAGTGCTGAAGAAGATCACTGTGTTATAATTAAGGGTCTATCCATCAAGAAGATCTAATAATTATAAATATTTTTGCTCCCAACTTGGGAGCACACAAAGATATAGGTGAAATAATACCAAACATAAACTCATTGATAATAATACAATAATAGTAGGGGACTTTAACACCCCACTTACAACAATGGACAGATCATCTAAACAGAAAATCAACAAGAAAACAGTGGATTTGAATGACACACTGGATTAGATGGACATAACCTATATATTCAAAACATTTAATCATAAAGCAGCAGAATGCACATTCTTTTCGAGTACACATGTAACATTTTCCAGAAAAGATCACATACTAGGTCACAAATCAGACCTCAAGTGGTACAAAGATTGAGATCATACCATGCATATTTTCAGACCACAATGCTATGAAATTTGAAGTTAACCAAAAGAAAAAAAAAATTGAAAGACCCCAAATACGTGGAGGTTGAAGAACATCTTACTGAAGAATGAATGGGTTACTTCTGATTCAGGGAAGAAATTAGAAAGGTAGACAAACCATGAGAGATTCTTGACTTTGGGAAACAAACAGGGTTGCAGAAGGGAGGAAGTTGGGTGTATGGGCTAACTGGGTGAGGAGCATCAAGGAAGGCATGTAATCTGACGAGCACTGAGTGTTATGCAACTAATGAATCATTGAACACTACATCAAATCTATTGATGTATTATATGTTGGCTAATTGAACTTAATAAAAAAAGCATGAATGGGTTAACTAGGAAGTTAAAAAAGGAACAAAAAAAACATGGAAGTAAATGAAAAAGAAAACACAACAGTCCAAAACCCTTGGGATGCAGCAAAGGCTGTCATAAGAAGGAAGTATGTAGCAATACAGGATTACCTAAGAAGCAAGAAAGGTCTCAAATACACAGCCTAACTTCACACCTAAAGGAGCTAGAAAAGGGAAAAGCAAATAAAGCCTAAAACCAGCAGCAGAAGGGAAATAATAAAGATTTAAGCAGAAATGAATGATACAGACACACATAAAAACAGTGGAACAGGTCAAAAAAACAAAGAGCTAGTTCTTTGAATGACTTAATAAAGTTGAAAAACCCTAGCCAGACTTATCAAAAAGTAAAGAGAGAGGACTAAAAGAAGTAAAATCACAAATGAAATAGGAGAAATCACAACTAATACCTCAGAGATACAAAAAATTAAAACTAATGATGTAATGTATAGTGATTAACATAACATAATAAAATAAAATTTAAAAAGAGAATATTATGAAAAATTATATACCAACAGACTGGGAAATCTGGAAGAAATGGACAAATTCCTAGAAACTTACAAAAACTACCAAAACTGAAACAGAGAAAAATAATCATTTGAACAGACCCAAAGCCAGCAGTGAAATTGAATCAGTAATCAAAAATCTCCAAACAAGCAAAAGTCCAGGGCCAGAGGGCTTCCCAGGGGAATTCTATGAAACATTTAAAGAAGAGATAATACTTATCCTTCTCAAACGTCCAAAAAATAGAAATGGACGGCAAATTCCAAATTCATTCTTCAAAGCCAGCATTATCTTGATTTCAAAACCAGACAAAGACCCCACTAAAAAGGAGAATTACAGGCCAGTGTCCCTGATGAACATGGATACAAAACTTCTCAACAAGATACTAACAAATCAAATCCAACAGTACTTTAAAAGACTTATTCACCACAGTTAAGTGGGATTTATTCCTTGCCTGCAGGGGTGGTTCAGATTTACACATCAAGCAACAGGTACACCACATTAATAAAAGGAAGGATAAGAACCATATGATCAGCTCAATAGATGCAC